ATTTTTAAATATATATAATATATATTTTTTAATGAGAATCATTTTAGGTGCTCGCTTCGGCAGCACATATACTAAAATTGGAGAATCATTTTAGGATGCGATTATGGTACATCTTGTACCATAGCCAGCACTTTGGGTCCAGCCAGCATCAGGAATGAGAGACCCCTAAGGAAATCCTAAGATTTTGAAGGAAGCGATATTGGTGATTCAATATGGAACATACTTCCCAAGTCAGAAAAGCTGAGAGTTGGAGCACAGCACTATTAAAAGCCTTATCTTTCCTCTGTGCAGGTGCGGGAACGCAAAAGCTGATTTCAGCCCAAATTCTAAATCAGAACTTGTCATCCCATGCTATTTAAATTTCTAGAGCAACTGAAAGGACTATTCTTTTTTCACTTCCTGTGTTTATAGTTTAGGACCCAGTCAAAACATATTACATTCTACTCATAAGTGAATTAAGATATAGGGCTGCAAGTGTCCTATTATATATCTAGTGCTTTAAAAGGGTTTATAATAATCCTATTCTAATCCAGTCCTATGTTTCCCATGCAAAGATATTAGGAATCAATGTTTTGTATGTGTAGGCCTAAATACTGAGCTATAATCTCTAATTGGTCTTGTAGAATCATTAAATCAATCTTTTGGCAATAAACCAAGTATTGGAGACTTTTTTGGTCACCATCAGAGCTTGCAAAGATTGAGTTTTGATTTTCCTTAATATCCTGTTCAGTAACAATGCCAACACTACTATCAAAGTTTTTACAGTCTAAATCTTTGTTTATTATTTTATCACGTATGGCATCCCTCTGATTCCTGTCCAAAAAGCTATTGTTGATGCCATGACTAAGGAAAGTTCTTTTGGCTGAAAGCTATATTGATTGATTTGCAGGAGTGTGACCCATGGACGCACAGTACCAGCGCGCCGTCTGGGCTCATCAAATTTCCTCCTTTGGTTAATGCTACTGTCCCTGAGCACATCCATTCAGACCATATGGTTCTTATTCAATACTTGAATGGCTTATTCAGGCAAACATCCAATGGCTGTAATAGCGATGTCAGACCCCCCAGGACTCACGCAAAGATCAGTTTTTAATTTTTTGGCCATATTTCTTACTCCATCTGCTAAATGTGCATGGAACAGTTCCCATACTTACATGGAACATTTGTGGAACTGCGCCCCCGGGCAGGGATCCCATATCTTTTGCAGCCAGAGTTTGACGAGATCATTGTGGATCCAGTCCTCTGGATATGTCTATGCTATCACTTGAGCAATATTTCTCCCCTCCCCCGACTTTTTTTTTTTTTAAAGGATTTATTCAAAAAACTATGAGCAGCTTTGGTTTTATCCTGCTGGCTAGACAGGATGTAGGTTCTTTTCTTGTTCCTTCTTCAGACAGTAGTTTTGAAATTCAAAGTTAAGATCAGAGGTCAGTCATGGGTATTCCATTCATGTTTCTGAGACACACAAAGTCATGCTTATACTCTCTGATGCTCATTAGTGCCAGTTAAGACAGTCTGGTGAAGTATTTTCTGCCCACCATCATCTAAGGTTGGAAAATAATGAATGATGATGCTCTAGTAATATACACTGGCACCTTTCCTCTGAAGAAGCCCACAAAAAGCTCACTGAGATATCATCTTACTCCATCCTCACAAGATCACTACAAAATGTTGAAATAGATCTCTCTCATTTCAAAGTGGAGATTCATTATTTTGCCGGTTGTAACACAATCATATATTCTTACCTCAATGTTCTGCCCACAGTGCTTTCTCATTGTAATTCCTGAGATAACAAATTGTTACAGGTAGATAAGTGAAAAATCCGCTTAGTATTAAAGGGTAAAATACATTGTCACCACCAATCTCAGGCTCAGTGACTTACTTTATCCCTGTGACAAGAAAAATTTGCTTTTTTCTCTGCAAATTTCCCATCTGCAGGTAAGGTAAAATCAGGGGCAGTGTAGAGGGGCACAGTTTCAACTTTGGAATCGGAAAGACCTGGGCTGGAGTCTGCTCTGCTTTTAAATTGCGGTGTAATCTTAGGCTTTCAAGTCTTACTCTTCCCATCTGTAAAATAGAGTTAAAACAGTACCCACCTCATAGGATTTTTGCCAATATTAAACAGAACAAATATGTGCCTGGCACAGTGTAAGTACTTTAAAAATTTTCATTATCATCATCATCATCATGGTTACTGGTAATGCCAACTATATTTTAATGCCACACAAAGTTGACTAGACCAGGAGAAATTTCTACTTTAATTGTGTCACTGGCTCTTTGCATGGCTGTTTTGGTTGGAGTAAAAATTCTGAGTTCTGTTTTAATTTCTTTTCTTTCTTTCTTTCTTTTTTTTTTTTTTTTTTTGAGTTCTGGTTTAATTTCCAAATAGATATAGCCTTAAGAGAAAAATCTGCATTTGGCAACAGTAAACATGCTTCCCTTTTAAGGAAAAAAAAATAACTGAAATTAACAATAAAAATTCAAAAATAAATAACATGGCAAGTACAGTTAGTAAAAAATAAATAAAAAATAAAGAATGGCTTAGCTCCCATTTCTAGTCCTTTTTATTTTTTTCTCTTAAACATGTAGGTTGATCTGGTACTTTGAAATCCATTTCATAAATTTACTGTTAATGATAGAGGTGGTTTGAGGGTCTTCTCATAGCACTCTGCCCTTTTCCTTTCTAGAAGTCTGCATATGTATTTGTTCTTTTCATTCACTCATTTAAGATTTGTTAGTCACTTTCATAAAGCTATCTATTGATCGTCCATGTCTCTGAAAAAATGGCTAATATTTGCTTTGTAGATTAATCTTACTTATTTTTATTTTTTAATATTTATTTATTTATTTTAAGTAGGCTCTACGCCTAGCATGGAGCCCTGTAGATTAATTTTAGATAGTGAAATCCAACATATTGACTATATGAAACTACGATGTTGTAAGTATGAGTGGTCTCTTGGTACACCAACTTTGCTATACTTACAAAGTTCTTAAATAGTCTTTCATGGAGCCCAAGATGTTCTGTTGAGGCATGTAAGAAGCTGAGAAGGGTCCAAGGACAGGGTAAGGAGGTAGGCAAGGAGTTCTTTTAACAAGAGTATTTCCATTTTTTCAAATGTATATTATCAGAATTCTGTAGATTTCATTTGAAGAAACGATTTAGGGATCAAAAAGTTGACAACCACTATCCAAAATTAAGAATGTGAATCTTTAGGGGTGCCTGGCTGGCTCAGTCGAAAGAGCATGTCACTCTTGATCTTAGGGTCATGAGTTCGAGCCACATGTTGGGTATAGAAATTACTTAAATAAGCTCTAAAAAAAAGAATGTGAATCTTTAGAAATCAAATATATTTTCACCCCATTTTATTCACTTTCTCCTGTCTGTGTTTATTCATGTATATGCTTTAAAGTATTATATCTCTGTTTATCAAATTTAAATTCAATACTATTAGATTTAATATTATTGAGAGTGTTTTCTTGGTATCCCTCAAAATTGTTGGTAATTTCCAAACAAATATTACCTCTATCACATATATGCAAATACTGTTAAGATATAACATTTGAGGGTCCTATTATTAAGCACAAATGATAAGATATTAAATATGTGCCTACCATATAAATGATTAGTGGGGTTGAGCTATGTGTTCTCAGATAGCCACTACTTGTGGTTTCCTTACTTGAAGTGATTATATAATTTATAGAATGCTAGTAGGAGGACTGTGAGAGGGTTAAAAGAATGAATTCTTTATGCTTGGGATTTAAAAATAAAGTACAATAAAGAGAGCCATGAGGCTTAGTGATAGTATTATTCTAGGCAAAAAGAAACTGTGGCCCATGGACTAGATCACAAGAATAATAATCAATCAAAGGCAAATAAAGAGATTCTCACTGTAATTTTCCCCCCTTACTATTATGTATTTCTTCTGAGTACAGATTGATGTAAATTGCTACTTGTCATTGACAAGAACGGCTGACTCCAAAATAAACCTAGACTGTTGTTTCAAGAATGCAGTTCTTAATATTTTCTATTACTTCAGTGAAAAAAAAGAATTTTTTGTAGTGTGTGAAGGTCTCTGTATTTTTACTGGCTACTTACAAAGTCTCAAAAAAAGATCCTTAATCCTTTAAAAATGACCTATCAATTCATACATTTAGCACAATTTACCAGCATTTCCAAACTCAGCATGGAAAAGCCATCAACATGGCACTAGGTCACAGGTCTTGAATGAAGCCGTCAGCAAGGATTAATAAAACTGTGACAGCTGCCCAAAAGCTTTCATTCTTTTATTTAAACATCAGATTGCAACCTGAAATGCAGTGTAATCTTTGTTGAAAGTCCCCCAACTAATGGAAGAATTCAGAACAGAAGACAGTAGTAGTTATTATTGTAAATTCAGCATGCAGCAATAAATTCTAGAATTCACATATATAGCAATTCCTAAAGAATTTCAGAAATAGCGTAAACTATTCTTATCTATTTGAACAATTCTTAATAATGATATTTTTCTGAAAACTAGACTGATGAAACTAAAATTACTTAGCTACAATTTCTATGCTCAGTAAATTGTTTAATTATTCCTCTACTACTAGCCCTCTTATGTTGTAATTTTAAATCAACTCTAGTTTGACTCTAGTTATAAAATATATTTGTGGGTCACATAATTTTCCTGGGAATTATTTATCAGAAAGAAACCTAGATTTACATGACTAAACAGACTATATTATATGACAACAAGATTATTGTTGCATTTTCTATACAAATATATACATATATGCACAGAAAGTTTTAACAGAGCTAGAAAATAGTCACTGTAGTTTCCCAAACACTGCAGATGTGCAGATGTCTATATGTGCCAATTAACTCATTAGGCTAGGCATCTACTGTTTTCTCAAGTGCATTTTAAATTAGTATGCATGATTTCCTAGAGGTTGAATACCAACACCAGAAATGGATCAGATTAGTCTACTTGTCAAACAGATAATAAATCATCTGAGCTTACCCCCTTTTCAATATTCCCAGTTTGACAGAGTGTTCCTTCAGCTGCAGGAATACTGTTGGTGACACAGCGGTTGCTTTTGCTGAGACACCAGAGCTCTCTACACACTTCCTAGGAAAGAAGGCAAAAAGCAAGTTGATCAGAAGTAGAGACTAAAATCATGTCCACTTCTTCCAAAAAATATACCTATGTGCACTCACATTACTTTAAAAAGACATCCCAGGTGTTTTTCTGCTGTTGAAGCATAAAAGATGAAGATTTTGGAGGAGATTCTTATACAAGATGTGTTACCCATTTTGCAGAATCATTTAAATATTTTTCTTTATAATTCTTATTTTAGTGGATAAAGAATATCTTAGTTTTTTTGATTAGGATCTTTAAAAAATAATGTGCAGAAATTTCACTAATGCACTGGTGCATCTGGCTAGCTCAGTTGGTAGAACACACGACTCTTGATTGTGGGGTTGTAAGTTTGAGGCCCACATTGGGTGTAGAGATTGCTTAAGGACAAATCTTTAAACAGGAATTCTTAAAAAAATTCTTTTTCATTACTGTAGAAGAGTAGGGAGAATGGATGAATATGTAGAAAGGAAATAGGTTTATTACTCTCAAGAATATACAATTGTACCAACTTACCAATTACTAATAAAGTGTTACCAGGTGGTGACTTCCTAGACCTACTGTAATATTCAAACAAATACCATTTTAAAAAGAAAAAAAAAGAGAGAGACCATGGGCATGGGCAGGGAGTAATTTCTAAAATTCATAAAGAACAATCTAGCAATGTTATTTGCAGATCATCAGTGTAGCCCACCTGCATGAAAGGGAAATGTGGTTTTGAACAAATGCTGCTATTTATGTGTCATTTTCATAACTGACATATTTCAGATGTCGTTTGGAGTTGTCTTCACTATCATTTCTTTGAAGAAAATACTCAAAATTTTCAATTTCTTTTTATATATGATCACCGACTAGCATCATTACTGATAGTACAAGTTTTTAGTTAAACTAGAACCATTTAGTATAAAATACATATTTGTAATAAAAATATATTAATGTGGAGTGCAAAGATAAATTTATGTATAACATTCACTTTTATTGCTATTATTTCCCAACTGCTCTTTTTACTCTCAAAACATCATTATAAAAACTTATGTCATGAAAACATAATTCAGAAATGAAGTGGTAACATATTTAATTCACTGGTTCAACTTTCCTACAAGTGGAAATGCCTCACAAGGTATAACATTGAGGGGATCTCTTTGGCCTCCTCTTTAGGATGCTCCCTTCCACCAGGCACAAAAGGAGCCATATAATTTCTATTAGACTTTTTAAATATTTTTTATTTATTTGAGAGTGTGCACGCACGCACGCGCGCACACCCCCCCCCCACACACACACACGAGTGGGGGAGGGGAGGGGAAGGGGCAGAGTGAGAGGGAGAAGCAACAGTCCCTCTGAGCAGGGAGCCCCATGTGGGACTCGATCCCAGGATCCCAAGATCACGACCTGAGCCAAAGGCAGATGCTTAACTGAATGAGCTACCCAGGCACCCCTCTATTGGACTTTTAAAATACTTTTGAATAAATCTACTCTATATACTTTATTTATCTACTTTAAACTCTATTTGGAGAACTACTGAGCTAGAAGAGAGTTAAAACATTACAAAAGATAAACAAAATGTACTGTAGACCATAATATAAAGATAATTTTCCTGTTCTTACAACTCAATGTACTGCAAATTCTACTTTCTTCCAAGTTTCAGTTTCTGTTTTATGTGGTTATTTATACTATTTTAGTGTTCCTTTCTTATAGGAAAGGTTTCCTAATATAAGTTCTTAAATATATTATTTCAGTTTAATATTAGAAAAACAGTAGGACTAACATTTTAGGGTCTTAAAATATTATCCCATATATCAAAAATACCCATATTCAAAGAAAAATGTGTTCACTAAAACAGAGAAACATTGCTAAAAAAAGTATATTAAGAGATTACCAAAAAAAATTTTTATCCATAATCCTGGACTATACTCCTGATCTTTTATGATTTTTATTAGATCTAAATCTTACTTTAGACAGAGGTCAAAGAACCTTAAGTTTAGATAGAACTGTGAAATGAAAATTCTATCATTCAAAGGGACAATGTTCATAGCATCTATGAGGAAAACATACTATGAGGTCAACTTACAGAAACTCTTTTTTCCAAAAGTGCCTTGAAAAATCTCTACCCAAAATGGCAAGTGCTCAAGATATTTTTTCCAAAACTTTAATCTCAAGATTCACAGTACAGCCCTCGATAGAGCCTTCTTATCCTACAGAGAATAACACATTTTGAAAGGTAGTTTCCCACTGCTAACAGGACTTTATTAACTAGTGGGCTCCTGGGGATTGGGATTTTGCTATGGCATTAACGTCCCACGAATTACTGTTTAAAGCATGGGACTGTAAATCTATGTATAGGAAATACTCCCAAGATGTTAAACTAGTCTCAGAAAAGGCTCTGAAGAGTTTTCAAAGAGATCTTATCTAGAATGTCAACTTGGATAATAAAGATCATGACATCTCAATTAAGATTTCCCAAGATAAAAAAATACTCACTTGAAAGATAAAAACTAAGAAAATTTTATTTTAGATAGCAAGAGGGACAGTTCCTGAAAGAACTTGAGAGCATTTTCTTCTTATTAAAAAAGACTTTATTTATTTAATTTAGAGAAAGAGAGCATGCGCATGAGTGGGCAAGGAGGCACAGAGGGGGAGGGAGAAGAAGGAGAGAATCTCAAGTGAACTCCATGCTGAGTGCAGAGCCCCACGTGGGGCTCAATCCGATGACTCCGAGATCATGACCTGAGCCCAAACCAAGAGTCAGACGCTTAACTGACTGAGCCACCCAGGAACCCAGAGAACATTTTCAGACATTTAGAAATACCGTTCTTTAAACTGCTGGATCCTAGAACATGGATGATATATTTGCATGGATATATGCATAGGTATATCAGTTGCCAAATAAGGACCCTAAGGTAGGTCCCAAGCTGGTTCACTAGTAAGTTAAATGCATTCTGAAATTTTTTGGCTCTTGGGGAATTTGTATAACAACCATCATAGGAAATGGATTAATATCCCTAAATAAAATAAATATGATAGAATATAGTGAGAGAGATTGATGATTTTTTTGACTACCCACCATCTTAGCTCAGAACATAATTCTCTTTCACATACTCATATTTCTTTTTAGGAGAAGTTAAGATTTATTAAGATTACTCCTATGACTTCTATGAACTAATAAACCATTGCCTGTGTTGGGGTGATTCCCTTCTCTAACCCTACAATTTATTTTGGGAAGACTCTAGGAGAAATTTTGGTTTCTGTGCTTGCCCTTGAGGTTAAGGAAGGAGAGTGAAGTTATCAACAGTCTTCACTAAGGGAAATTTCTGTTACATGACACTGAAAATTGGAAATGGACTCTCTAATTTCATGGGCTCAACTTCTAACCAAGTGGGAGGATTGCCTGGCAAAACAAAACATTATTTCCCATTCATTCAAGAATATTTCTTGAGCATCTACTATTCACCAGGCATTACGTTAGTGTAATGAAAAAAATAACACTATCAAAGAATTTACAGGAACCAGGGAGAAGGTAGGGTACAATCAGACACATAGCTTAAATGCCATAGATTGGCACTGCTCTATGGAATTTTTAATATTCTGTGACAAAATTAGAAGAGTGATATCAATGTGGTTAGATTTTTTTTCATGAAACTAAATTTTTATTTTAAGAGACTCTTCTTATTTATTAGTTTTATTCTTTTTACTTTTTAGGTGTTACAATAGACTGTAAGGTCCCTGAGAGCAGGGTGTATGTGTTAATGGCAGTCTTGACAAAATGTTTCTACTTGGCAAAATTAAAAGTTAACATCCTTGTGGTTTGCTAATTTTCAGGGAGAAATTTCCCTTGCCTACAAAAATCTAAAAGCTTGTGAACCACTCACTGCCCAAAACTTGATAATCAGTGTTCTGTTTTTTTAAACATATCAAGGTGTTTATCAATTGTTTCTGTTCCAGCACTATCTTCTGAATTCAAATTCTTTCTTTGGACATGCATCCTTTCAGAGTTAATTTAGCAGGAGACTCTTGTTCCTTTTTTTTTTTTTTAAGATTTATTTATTTATTTTAGAGAGATGGAGGCAGGGGAAGGGGCAGAGGGAGAGGGAGACACACAATCTCAAGCAGACTCCCTGTTGAGCACAGAGCCTGACATGTGGCTTGATCTTACCATCCTGAGATAATGGCCTGAGCTGAAATCAAGAGTTGGATGTTTAACTGAATGAGCCACCCAGGCGCCAAGGGACTCTTGTTCTTCATTGTTTAAAAATATATCTTTTACCCTCATGTTTAAAATGATATTTTAATTGAATATAGAATTCTAGGCTAACATTTATCTTATCTCAGCATTTGAAGGTATTAAGTTCATTGTCATCTGGACTCCATATATGGAGGCTGATGAAAAATCATTTGTCAATCTAATCACTGTCTCTTTGTGATAAAGTCTAGTTGCTTTCAAGAGTTTGTCTTGGCTATAGTGCAGTTTCACCACTGTATCTAGGTGTTCTTTTATTTATCTACTTGGGGCTCATGCTTTGAATTTATATCTCTCTTTGATTCTGAAAAATTATTAGTTATATAATTTATATAATATATATATATAGTTATAGAATTAAATTTGTAATATATGACTTCCCCATTCTTCCAGAACTTCTAATCAACTTATATTAGATATTGTCACTCTAACCACCACATCTCTTAAATTCTTTTCATATTTACCCTATATTTTTCAATTGGGGTGCTAATCTTTCTGCTTGTTCACGTCATGGTGGACTGTTTCGTCATGTTGTTTGTTATTTTCTCTTCAAACTTACCTTCAGGGAATCCTGTTTTTTCATAGAGTATCCTGTGCTGCCTGAGTTGCAGAAGTGTAGCTTTGTGCATTTGTTTCTATCATACAACCCAAGGTTTCACTTGGTTTTTGTTCACTAGTTTTCATGAGTATCTATTTGGTCAGCACCATGTATGGAGACTGTACAAAATCATACTCTGTTTTTATGTAAGGCACAAGC